CTGTAAATCAGATTTATGTGGGTTTGGTCTAGTTGTCTGGCCTGACAAGTATACAGAAATATATATTTTAAAAAATATGTCAGTTATCTCCGGGGCTGCAGTCTCAACTAGGAAAGAATGTAGTTCAATTTCAAAAAGAGATAGGTGGCAAGCAATGTGCTTACAGACAGATATTTGCACTGGCTTGTAGAGTGGGTAAAAAGAAAACTATGCATTTGTGTTTGCCCTGGTTTAACACATATGATTTTTACCCATTGATTTTATAAAATGCCCACTTTTACTAGAACATTCTACATACTTCAAAAACTTTTAAAAAATCCAAACTGCGCAAGAAGAGTGCATGCAATATTCTTGACCAGTTTGTATAACAGCTTGAATCCACCTAAGAGGGCCAGGTTTTAATTACTGGTTTACCTTATGTTCTCACATACATTGAGACTATTTTTTTTACCCCTCACTAAAGCTGAACTCTACACAGATGAAATACATACACGCTGTTCTATCCAGCAAAAGCATTTATCATTTTGTTTCAGCCAGTTTTGTGAGCCATGCACGTCATGTACGCGACCTTACTTTTCTCCACTTCAGTTAGCCGATACAGCTTGGTCACCAAACAGCCCTATGCCTATTGCTTGGCCAATAAAGGAACATTACCAAATTCATGAGTTTCTCGTGTCAGCAAACTTCCAACAGGTTTGGGAGCACAATGCAATGTGTACAGTAATGTGCATAGCATAACAATGTAAGGTAGAATGGCAAAACTGGCTCACAATGTTGTGCAAAAAGACTGAGAGAAAGTCATAAGAGGCACCTTCACATACTTATGTTAATTATTCAAAAAGTTTTTTTTCAATCCAACTTTCCTAATCTGAATTCCTAGATCCAGGTAAGTGACTCTTAAAAGATTGTGGGCTAATCTGCCAGGCAATTAGCCATTTCATAGTAAGGTCATCAATGGCAGCCACTACATTTCACTCAGAAAAGACTTACAGGGTTATTCACGAAGGCGCCAAAGCATCCGGTAATCTTTCGGCTCACTTTGGGTGCCAGAGCCCTCCGGTTCAGGCGAACCGAAGGGCTGCTGTACGGGCTATTCATAATAGCCCGTACAGCAGCCAAGCCGAACGCATATGCTTCAGCTCAGCTGGGCCGAAGCGGGAGAATGGTCTTCTGAAGCAGACCCTTCTTTCCGCAAATGTAAACAACTGGGCGGAACCAGCTGTGATGTCACGGCTGGCTGCACCTAGTTGTGGTCATTCAACGATAACCCGGCATCCTCAAGTCATTTGAGGAAACTGGGCTGACATTGAATGACACCAACTGGGCGGAGCCAGCCATGACATTATGGCTGACTCCGCCCATTTGTTTTGATTTGGCCGACCCATGACAGGTGTCGGCAAAATCAAAACAAATATCAAAACAAAACGTCACGTCTTTTTGCCCTGAGGAAGAGGCCCTGTGTGGTCTCGAAACGTTGGCTCGTTTGTAGTGACGTCTATGTCCAATAAATGGACATGTTGGATTATTCTTCTGAGTGCTGGTGATTTTTGGTTCCATATTGTATTTGCACGGTGCCATCCGTGACTATCGCTGCAAGCACCATTTGTTGTATAGGCTCGGACTGCTGCAAGGTGTGCGCAGGACTCCCTTATCTATCCACCGATTTTAAAAGTGACTTTACTCACTTACTAGTTACTTCTCCGCTGAATTGAAGGAGAACTATGAGGGGAGTGATTTACACTCATCCTTATAGTTAGAGCCGACGTGTGACAATGAAACTGTCACAGTCGGCTCTGTAGATCAGGAAGTGAGTAAACACATAACGTCGCTCGTTCACTTTCCGATCATCTCCCTGCAGAGAGTGGTGACTGTCAGTCACTGCTCTCCGCAGGGATCCCCCTCCGCTCTGATCCTCCAGCGCTGACTGGAGGAACGGACGTGGGTGGATACAGCTGGCTCTGCCTCTAGATAGGCAGAGCCCGCTGTCACTCACAGAGTCGGGTGGATCTCGACAGTATTGTTGGGATCCCTCCCGGCTGCGGCGCTCTCAGTATATAGCGAGCAATAGCGAGCTATATACTGAGGATTGGGTCACGGAGGACGCTAGTATATGTCCTCCCGTGAACCTAGAGAACTATGGAGATAAAAAGGTTACCGCATAGTTCTCTTTTAAGTCTTTTCTCTGGTGCCTTGACATCCTCTTTAACCAGTTTCCTGTTGTGCTACTCAGCAGCAATAATCATCTATCACTTCAGTTCCAATTAACAAATTTATTTTATTACTAGTTGGTTTCGCAAACGTTTGCCTGCAGCCTCAATCCAGTAGCCAGACTTCTCCTGTCACTTTTTGCCTAGAGCCATACAATTTGGTTTAAAAGTTTTGATTTGCTAATGGTTAGTGGGGTCCAATCCATATTTGTTTTCACCCACAGTAAACTAGGAAAATCAAAAGGGCACGGTGGAACATTTTGGACATCTTACATTTTGTAATGTGCATGTGTTAGGCACAAAATAAATATGGATAATACATGTGGGATTCCATCCAAGTAGCAGGTCTGGACGAAATTTTTAAGGGCTTTCAAACTAAATTAATTTGAGTCAACGATTGCAAGATTGAATGCTCTGACAAACCATCCTTCACCGTTTGGATTTTTAATGATAACATATGTCAATGTGAGACTTCCACTCTATATTTATATAGAGTGTAAGTCTCACATATATAACACGTTATCTTTTTAAAAATGTAATAGGAATAAGGGTTTAGAATACAAGAACATTTTATACGGAGTGCAGTCTGTCTATAAACATTCCCACATTGAAACCAGGTATATCCTATTATCTAAACTACAAGGATCAATACTTTTGTGCTGGACTATGTAGAGTCCTCTATGCTGAATATGCGGCATTGATGCATAAATCAGGTTGTGTAATATTCAACAAATAATAGTAAAAAACAATGGCATCACTTCAAAATTGAGTTTAATGACAATTTGTTTCTGGACTTTGCTGGCCATAAACCTATAGATTATCTGCAGATTTTCAATGGTCAGATGGAAAATGTGCAACAGATTCCTCCATCTACGCTAAACTGTGTGGTTGGAGGAATCTCCCACTGGGCCAAGCTTCAGTATCTTGCTAGTTGACCCCCCTGGCTGGACAAATACCTAAACAATCTGATCAGGCATTGTTCAGGTGTTTTCAGAGCCAGCACGGCCGACTAGCAAGATCCTGAAGCTTGGCCCAGTGGGAGATTCCTCCATCCACAATTTAGCATAGATGGAGGAATCTGTTGCTTTTTTTTTTTACATCTGACCATAGAAAATCTGTAGGTGTATGACCAGCTTTAGGCATTTGTAAAATATAGGTTTGTGGGAGTGCAGGGGGCTGAAGTTGTTTGACCTACTATTTAACCTCTTTGAACATTGGAATATAAAAAAAAAAAATATAAAAAGCTATAGAGGTCCAGAAATCTTTTAATATATCAGCTCATGCGTTATATGTATTCATATTTTAGGGCTGCAGCTAACGATTTTCATAATCCATTAGTTGCCCGATTGTTTTTTCGATTCGACTGGTTGCATTAAAAAAATCTCTCTCTCAATCGATAATGAAAATAGTTGCCAACTATTCTCATAATCAATTATCAATTTAATTGATTAGTTGCTGCAGCCCTAAAATTGATCAAGTCTAACCCGCATACCTCATATACCTCAGGTTTAACCAAAATGTAAAAATATGTTTTTTTAAGATATGTATATTACTTTAAACATGGTAAAAATGTTGCTCCAAATTTATTGTTTACACACTTTCAATTATGTTACCTTGGGACGAGTCAACAGTCAGTTTGATCTTTTCCAATTCCTGTAGATATCAATAGTACTAAAGACAAAAGATGGCCACTGGACATTAGGAAAAGATCTAATGGCCAGAGAATGACCCAAACAAGTCACAAAGCAAGATCAGTTTAAAACTTCCAGTTTAGTCGGCTTTTCCCCCAAAGGAGGTGACCTGAAGAAGTCCAATACTGTGTCCCATAGATATCAAGGTGGTCATTGAAATGATCATAACTGCGAGTACAAGAGTCTAATTAATGTCTTTAGAAATTTTAGACATTGCGTGTCCATGCACACATTGTAACGTTGCTAGCTCATCTGTAAGATGGAAAAATGACACAGCAAGTCTTTGCTGTACATTATCTGCCTTTCTTCATCTTTGCCGTCTTCTCTTTTCTTTTCTTCACGTGTTTTGGGACCTTGTTTTTCCTCTTTTCTCTCTGTGCTTCTTTGGTCAGTTTCTTCCTTTCCTAAAGAGAGAACGGCATAAAATAATAAACTGGACGCAGGGCTGGTTGAAGCCACAGGGAGCCTTGTAGGAATTCACACAAACAAGTTTAAGAAAGGAGAGGCTTAATGTGGCCGTATAAATCAACATGAAAGGAATAAAGTTTCACTGGAACCGTTGCCAGTTTTTTATTTTAACATAGTGCCATGAAGCAATTTTCTCTTGGGATATTCTTGAATTAAATAGAATACATCAGATTTTCAGCATATCATGTGTAAGAGAAAAATATCACATAAAAATCCAATTTACAGACTTGAGTAAAAGCTACTATTGTACAATTTAACGCAATGAAGCAAAAAACTGTGTTCATTTGCGGTCTTCCATGAAAAAAGGTCTAAACATTCTTTTTTACTTTCATTTATACTATACTGTGTCTGCGACACAATTTGTTTTCTCCACATGACTCGCCCTTTTGTTTTCTTTTTTACACCCCCCCCCCTTACATCAAACTGCTAACTGTGTTGACAGTACTTCTCTATTCATGGTCTCTTTACTTAGCCATTTATCCATGACCAGGCCTGGAGAGGAAAGAACTTCAATGTTGTAACTCCCTTGCTAATATACCCATATTAAACTTTAGGCAGACATAAGATGGTCACATGTCATGATTGTGGATTCTTCTGTAGATTTACCAACAGCTTCTGTATTTATTGCGAGGGCCTACCTAAGCAATCTGTTTAACACATAACCAATCCTGTAGAACCTCCAACTACATAACTGTTTTACATTTAAAGGAAATCTGATCTCTCCAGCGCCAGATTTATTCTCTGCTGCCCCAAGGCCAGGTTACTCAATGTGCTCCCTACCTGCCCCCCATGGATAAGAGAATGGCAGACCTGTGGGCTGCATACAAGTAATCTAGGCGACATCGCCGGGATTACTTGTACAAAACAAGCGGCGGCTTCCCCACTGTACATTTAGCCCTGCTTTCCCAAAGCAGGGCTAAATGTAGAAAACTACCACCTGCCTGTAACTACATGTCTTGGGCATCGGGAGATAGGAATTCCACACCCCTGCTGCCCCTTTACTCCCTGCTGCCCCGAGGCCAGACCTTGGTTGGCCTTGTGGGAAATCCGGCCCTGCTCCCCCCCCTCCCCTTATTTTGGTCACCTTAATCTTCCCTTCAGTTATTGTAAAGCTACACTCCTGACAAAATGATAATGTACATACCCAGTACAGTGTGTGTAAATTATTAGCCCTTCCTCACTTTCGTCCATTCACAAAATGTCTTTTTTTAAAGAATACAAGACATTCTGTGATTGGAGGATATATGATGTCACATATTTCTGCATCTTCACTTCTCAGTCTCAGATCTCAATCATCACATACCTTTTATGCTGGCCATTCACATGAGATTGATTGTTCTGGTGAAAGAATTGTAGTTTCTAGGTTTAACTGAATTATATGGGTGGATCTATCAATAAACTATTTTATTTGAAAAGAGACAATCATTTCTGATGAAAAATCTGATTAAAAAATAAATTGATCTTTGTTTGTTGGTGATTCAAAGCAGCCCAATCTATAATAGATTCATTGTTTATTGTTAAACATATGGCATTGAGTTTGTAAATGGCAAAAGATAATCTGAGCATCCTGAGGACCAGATCATCATGGCTGACTGCACTGATACAATTTCTGGGCTGCAACAATGGCAGTCACAAGTTACTTTTAAAGTTTAATGTGACTTGTCTTAACAATGAAATCATCCACTCACTTTTTTATCCATTTCTTCGTCAGGAGTCTGATCTTTCCGGTGAACTCCTTCTTCAGAGTCTGAAGTGGACTCATCCTCACTTTGACCATCAGAGTCCTCCTGCTGCCCTTGATCAGTGTTCTGCAGCAGAGCCGGTATCTGCACACATAATGGGGACATTAGAAATGTTCTACAGGCAGCCTACTCTCATCAGCATTGAACAACAATATTTTTTCTCATTTAAAAAAGGGACATTAAACTCAGGAGTTAAATCTTAAAAATACATTCAAGTACCTAAACCATTAACAAAAATATATTGTATTTGTATATCACTCGGCTGTAGATCCTCAAATCCTCTGTGAATTCGTGCCGACAATGTCTTCCTTCTGCTACTTTACAACACACACAGGGACCATGGGGAACAAGGAAGGACAGTGTCAGCACCAATTCAGAGATGATTGGAGGATCTACAGCCGAGTGATACACAAATAAGTTCCAGTATTGGCAATAGTTATAGTACTTGAATGCATTTTAAAAATGTAACTCCCGAGTTTAGTGTCACTTAATAAAATATAAAATGCTTTTCAAAAGAAAACTTAATATTTTCAGTTTGTACTTCCAAGATAACAGCTTTTGCCAAATTAAGGTCTTGTCTATTTTTGTTTAATAAAATATCTGCTTTAGACAATGTGGGGATCACAGAAGATTATAAGGGTAGACTACATGACAAGTGAGGAGCACACCCGTATTGTAAATTAGGCTCCGTATTGTAAATTAGGCTAACTGCTGAGTTGATTCTGTCTACCTGCATTATATTTAGCAATTAGCTTAAATGCCCATTAACCTAGAGACAAAAAGACAGGTAAAATACACATGTATAAATGTATAATAAAATAACTATACTATAGGTTATTGTAATTTTTATTGTTACAATGAGGAATATATTGCCAAGCACTGCAATGGCAGTCATTTAGGGGTTATAGCAAAACAGTCCTGTCTGACTGGACTTTTAACCTATATTAGGTTCAGTTTATACAGCTTCATTATAGTTGACAAGGAACCAAGAGGAAACACACTAGCATACAGAAACAATCATCAGTCTAACTAATGGAGCCTCGGCGATCTGGTCATGCATGGTAAGCTTTAGAGACAACTTGACTCAACACTGTGCAAAAACATGTAAATCAGTTCCGATACATTTTCTTACCGTTTCAGCACCCGACAAGTCCTTCTTTAGGCCAGTGACAGTCTGATAGAGAATCTACAAATAAATAAAACCAGAACAACTATTTATTTGTATACAATTTCCTCTCAGTACTGTAAACCTTATCTTTGCCAGCAGCGAGTTAGGCTGTACTTTGTGATCACCACAGATAGGGATCTGTGGGGCTAGTTTTTAGTGTAATGACTTTGTCATTGCTAATAATAATGTAGCTGTGGGGAGAGCCTATAGAAGAGGAGTACAGACTATTCAACCAGCACTGTCACCTGGGGGCAAGTAGAGTGTTCTCAGCCTGCTGTAGGATCCAAGTCATGACCTGGAGTTTAAAACAGGGCTTCCTCTTGTCTCCCCTGGAGGACAGAAGAAGCAGTGTGGGAGCATAACAATTTTAGGTATGTGCAGCTGGGTAAGGCCACCAAATGTTTGCTTTAAGATGACCTCTAACCTCTTGATAATTTAATTAAAGTCTCAGGTTTGGACTAAGATAAAGCTGAATAAGGCAGAATTAGGAATCCTTTATTTTAATGAACCTGTACAGTTTGATAACTAAAGAAGGCCAGACTCTTGCATAACCCAAACAAAAGTGCACCATTTAAAATATTCTCCTTATCAATGGCTAGTCATTGTGAGAGTCAATCAAATACTGAAGCAGAATCAACAATGCAATCATCACCACATTATCACAGAAGACTGTCAGCCTAAAATTTCTATTTTACTTACAGTTGCCCTGCACAATGCTCCAGGATGAGGGAATGTTAATCTATGTTCCCGTCTGACAGTTACCAGCCAACACTGTGTGCTGCCGATAGCCGTCAAATCAAATTTTAGATAGCTTAGGTCCCTATCGATTGACAGAGAACCAATCAGAGAGAGTCCTGAACCAATCAGAGAGAGTCCTGATCTCTCGGATTGGTTCACTATGTCAGCTATGATAGTGATCGCATGCAGAATGGAGGCCTCATTCACAAAAACAACTTTCAGCCTGTAGACACAACTGAAATCTGAAGATGGCAGTGTGCATCTGTTTAATTCTGTAATTGTCAGATACAATAACAGTACTAAAACATAAATACACTAGTTTAAACAATGTATATATAGTGTTAATGGATTCATACTGACTTCTAAATTTGGCCTAGGTATCAAGGCTTCAATGACCCTGGGCACAAAGGGGTTAAAAAGGAACAGCTGAGCTTAAATTTACTACCAGTTTATTAATGCAAACCTGTGTTTTGCTTATGAAGGGTAAACCTGCTGGTTCATGTAAACCAGTGGTGGTTAACTTTCTTGATACAGGGCCCCTGATATCACCAAAAAGCAGCACATAATATTCAATTAATGTAATGCTACAGAAAACTGTCAGAGACTGCAGGCACGCAACAAGAGATAGCCCCTAAAATGATTTGTGCTACATTTGATATTCCTCTCAGCAAAATCCATTTACTGCCCCAAGTATAAACCTAGGTGAGGCCCCGAGGGATGCAAAATAGGTGCCAAAAGGCCACAGGTTGGGCACCAGTGAGTTAAAAAGGTGGCTCTCTTCCCTAAATTATACTGGCCTAAAAATGGGAAAATACAAGGTAATTCTGGGTATGGTGAGCACATCGCTCTTTGTCCTTCCTACCAGGATGTAGTGCTAGGGAGGTAAGTAAGCAATCATTAGGCCCAGGCACTGTCACATGACAGTGAGGAATGAGGAATAGAGAGAGTCTTTAGCCTTGCGCAAACACCAACCACAGTGGCTTGAAGTTTACGCAGGGTTTTTTCGATTTGCTCCAATGGCTGAATGCAGCAGTTGGGGAGGGAAGGGTAGGTAAGTATGGGCAGGCATTTAAAGTGACATTAAACCCTCAGATTTTTTAACATAAACCCATACTGTAATGTGTGCCTTACTGTAATCCATGGTTGTTTCCCTTCTCTTTGCTGCTCTTCCTTTTAAATCTGTATCTGTTCTCATGCTTGGGGAGAACTTCTGTTTTGCAGCAGACTGCCTTGTCTCTGAAATGGATAGATGGTGTCTGTGTGTAGGTTCACAACCTGAGCCAGCACTACAGGAAGAGGGACTCTGCAAAGGGAAGTTCTCCCCCAGCATGAGAAGACATGAGGATTTAAAAAGGAAGAGCAGCAAAGAGAAGGGAAACAACCATGGATTACAGTAAGGCACACATTACAGTATTGGTTTAGGTTAAAAAAATCTGAGGGTTTAATGTCACTTTAAGTTAACTTGTTGCTTTGGCCATCCAGGTTCACTAAAAAGTAACATGCCACTTACAGTTATTGCTACAAAAGAAAACATATTAATAAAATGTGTTATAATGTTAATATATTACAGCTGACTACCAAACTGTAGAGCAACTACAATGGGGTAATGTACTCACATTATCATGTTGGGTGTTCAATGATAGGTCCTCTTCTTTTAACTTCTGCATTATGCCAACATCCCTTTCGTAGTTTTTCACCTCATTCAGAGTTCGGGGAATATATGCCTTCTTAAACACCTACAAATAAAGAGTTGTGATTAAATATGACCGAGATGTAAGTTCACAGATATTACAAGGCCTGTAAAAGACAGACATACATTTAATTTAGCAATCCATGTTTTTAATCTGATAAACTTATTGGAGGCACATAAATCAGTTTTCTGGCAGAGATTAAGAGTGCCACATACATGAAGTCAGGTGAAGTTAAACATAACTATTGCTAGTACTTGTGCCAAAGTAACACATGCCCTGCGCCACCTTTTTGAAAAAAAGCAGACCAAAACACTATGGGATTCCTCAAAATTCATGCTATATATTAGGGATGCACCGATACCAATACTCGTACTCACCCAAATGCTCCCGATGCTTATCCCGATACTAGAACTTTCGGTATCAGAAAGCCAGGCAGCGTGCCATTACAAGCTACCCAGCTTCCTGACTAGCCGGGAAAACAAGTCCATGCACTTGGTGACGAGGGAGCATGGAGCCGGCTTACTGGGCAATCAGGAAGCCAGGCGGCCTGTAATGATTTGCCGCCCGGCTTCCTGATTGGTCGGTAAGCTGGCAAATTAGGAAGCCGGGCAGGGAGTCATTACCCGCCCCCCAAGCTTCCTCAATGGCCAGAAAGCCGGCTCCATGCTGGTGACGAGGGAGCATTAAGACGGCTTACCGGCTGATCAGGAAGCCGGCCGGCAAATCATTACACACCGCCTGGCTTTCTTAAGGGACTTCTGGTATTTGCTATCGGCGATTATCTGTATCGGTGCATCCCTACTATACATTATATATTCATTGATTCAAACCTGTGAAGCACACAGCAGGACTAAACTTCAGCTACTTAACATTTAAACTGGGATGCTCTCACACGCAGCCAAATTGTAGACAGAAATAACACTTATTGGCACTAGTGACCAGATAAATACATGCCAATACAGTCTCAAGATTAACAAAAATGTATTTTTGAATGAACAGAAAAGTAACACCAACACAGAATGCAAAAAAAATTCAAAACACCTTCTAAATAACTACTGAAATCAGAGGATGTAAAGTGAATAGTTTGAACAAATGTTTTAGCTCTGCACTGGAAAACGTTGGAAGATACATTTCTACAGAGGCATAGGATGCAGGCAAGGCAATGTAACAAAATGTGACTGTGCAATGTTTAAATAATACTTTTTACTTATGCAACCTCAATGACAAAAACAAAAAGCAAATAAACTAAATAACCAAACAGTAGTGAGTATTCAAAAAATCAGAATAAAGTTCAGGCAGAGTCATGTACAGTACACAGTGCTAATCAGTACACAAATATGCCATATAATGCACATAAGGATTCACAAAGAAGAATTGTGGGCATATGAAAACTTCACTCTTGCAGTGGGGCTACCTACTGCTTGTTTTTGTCTGTGGTCTAAAAAAAAAAAAAAAAAAAATATACTCACTAGATCCTCAGTTCTGCGGTAGCGATCGCTCACCTCTCTCCCTCTGTTTTGGCGGTGGTATGTCCCTCGGCATCCTCACATCTAATACACTGTATTAAACATGATGACTTGCATATCTTTAGACCGCTAGAGCCCAGGGGAGAAGAAGCTGCAGGGACTGGTCTCGATCTAGACTTTAGGCAAAAATGAGCACTTAACCCTTGCAGTGCGGTGTAGCCCCACTGCAAGGGTTATTTTTCATATGCCCAGAGCTCTTCTTTAAAGTGTATGTTAAAGGAAAACTATGAGGCGAGTGAAAGTTGCTCAGCCTCATAGTTCTAGCCGACCTGTGACAATGAAACGGTCACAGGTCAGCTCAATAGATTGGGAAGTGAGCGTACACATACCGTCGCTCGCTCACCTCTCGATCTATCCCTGCAAAGAGCCGTGACTGCAGGGATTCCCCCCCCTATCCGATCCTTCAGCGCTGACTGGCGGAACGGACGGGGGAGGGGGCGGGTACAGCTGGCTCTGCCTCTAGATAAGCAGAGCCAGCTGTCAATCACGCAGCTGGGTGGATCTCGACAGTAATGTCAGGATCTGTCCCGGCTGCGGCAATCTCAGTATGCTGAGCTTTGGGTCACGGGAGGATGCTAGTTTGTGTTCTCCTGTGACCCTTAGGAGAACTATGGAGAAAAACACTTAGGCTTTTTTTTTTAGTTTGAGACAAAGTTAGGGAGGGTTAGATCCTTTGTACATTGTCTGGTGACCGATATGGATTATTTAGAACAGATCTTGATTATGGGCAACCTTTCAGACCGATAACCGATATAAAAAAGGTACTGATATTCCGTTTACATCCAGCTGAGCCCCTGCCCCATTAATTTGCCTGCGACAGGATTCCAGAGCCAACAGCTAAATGTAAACAGCAGGCATTGGGCAATGTAATAGCCAGCCTGCCATTGGCTATTTCAAATAGCAATAGCAGGCTGGATATGAAACCCGCCCACTGCCTGCTGTCCATCAGCAGAGGAGAGGACCTGACTGATCTGCAGTGGCAGGGAGCAATAGCCAGCCTGCTATTGGCTATTTCAAATTGCAATAGCCAATAGTAGTCTGGCTATTGCACTCACCCACTGCCAGCTGTCAATCAGCAGAGGAGACCCTAAATGAGAAACTTCTTCTTCAAATCCGCTCCTCTGTTGATTGACAGCAGGCAGTGGGTGGGTGCAATAGCCAGACTGCTTTTGGCTATTACAATTTGAAATAGACAATAGCAGGCTGGCTATTGTTTACCCACTGCCTGCTATTTACGGAAAGGTACATCTGCTGTTTTTTTTTATTCTGACAACAGCCACCAGCCTCTGTTAGAATATCTGAACAGGGCTGGCAGCTCAATGGCTGCCAGCTCTGTTCCTACATAGATTTTCTGACCATCTCCTTTGATGAGCTCTTCGAGGGATGCCAGCCACACAGCAGCACCCACTGTGCTAATTTCGGCCAGTTCCTCAAGAACCGGCTGAAATTCGTTCAGTGTTTATTATTGGTAATATCTGTAAATTTAACCAATACCGATAAACAATTTGTGAATATCGGCCCCGATTAATTGGTAATTCACTAATCGGTCGACCCCTAGTCCTAGGTTCATTGTCCCCAAGACAGTAAGAGAAGGAAAATACAAAAATGCTGAGTTGCCATCTGAATAGCAGGCGAGGAAAAATCTTCCAATAGGGACACTCGTTCCTGTGACAGTCTCGATGACCAGAAGTTCTGTTTGCTTCCTTTTATGGGAACGCATCAAGAAAATGAGTAAACAGAATTTGCCCCAGCTAGACACAGACTAGAAAATAATTAAATGATTTGGGGTTTAAACCCTTCTCTACTTTACATACACTTTACACATAAGGCAACCATTTCATAACAGCAGACCTAATGATTAAAACAATGAGTTGAACACAAATCTAAAGAGAACATGAGAGAATTTTGGGGAATGTTATTTGAAATTGTTTTCCACAGATATTAAAGTTTTAAAAACATTTTTTTACGATATTTAATACAGGGTGCGTATGTTTCAGAGTGTGCAGTGCATTTAGAGCGATCTTACAAAAAAGTACATTAACTCTGCACTTGTTGCCTGCTTCTGCAGAAGATCTAGAGATTATGGGGCTGAATGAAAAAGGAGTAGGGAATCTTCATACAACAAATTGTGTGAATATTCACTTCAATTATCCTTGTGAAAAGTAAATCCACGTTAATTTTTTTTCTTCTGCACATGACTGGATAACTGAAGTAAATATTTAACAATTTAAAAGATCAATACTCTTAGCTTTAGTAAATCAGTGGGTTAGAGGTTAACACTTCTGCCTGGCAGCACTGGGGTCCTCGGACTGAATCCTGGGCCAGGGCGCTATCTGCTTAGAGTTTGCATATTCTCCCTGCGCTTCCCTGAGATTCTTCCCAGACTCCAAAGACATGCTGGTTGGTTTAAAGCGTGTTTATTACCTTGAGTTCTCCAGATTTAGAATGTCCTCAGCCCAGTATCAAGGGTCTGTTGACACTGCAGCTGTATCTCACATTTTATTAGGTTTGATATTTGATTGGTTGTTACACTGTTCATATGCTGCACTTACCTCTTCATCCACCTTATCTTGACTTGATCTTTCTTCTTCTGTTCTTTCAGTTGCTATCTCCATAGCCTATAAAACACACACACACACACAGATATTTAATAGGATAACAGTGAAGGCCTCCATACAAAATCAATCATCAGTTTTGTGTAAAGGATAATAATAGCAGGGCAAGTGTAATGTTATAATTGTCAATCATTAAAAACAAATATCTCTGCTTCAAGGGCCTCCTTATGCTTACAATGATCTATGAAATTCTTGGGAGTGAAGCAATTCATAAAAGGAAGGTAAACATTATACCATAATCTGATTATACCGATATCACAGTCCTCTATCGTAGATTAGACCAAATAATATTGTTGTCTGAGCTGAAGAATCATAAGAATGAAACAATGTGTTGGGGGATGAATTTGTGTCAACACAGGACAATGGCATACACCATAATCCAACCAGCACAAGACCTATAACATGGGTGTCTTGGCACTGTATCGCAGAGTGGTGAGTCTGTGGGAGCCATAGATCAGGTATTTCAAAGCGATCTGCCACTTCTTTCATTTACAAATGTTCAGGTCAATTACCTAAAAAAAAAAAAAAAAATCTAAAGCTGGAGTTGGACTTTAACCACTTGCTGACCTGCTGTTTACACACCCTTCCTGGCCAGGTAATTTTTCAGTATTCAGCGCTACGGTACCTTGACTGACATTTATTCCGTCATGCAATGCTGTACTGAAATTAATTTTAGAACATTTTCTGGGTACTGTTAGAGCTTTCTTTTGTTGGTATTTGATCACCACTGGGGTTTTTATTTTTTACTATATTAAGGAAAAATTACTGAAAATTTTGAAAAAAAACCGTTATAAAATATTACCCAATTTTTTTATAAAATATAAAAGACGGGGTCACCTCGGGTAAATAGACACCAAACATGTTGAGCTTTAAAATTGCACGTAAACGCAAAATTGTAAAAAACTACCATTCCCAAAATTGACCATGACCTTTTTTTTTTACCGCTCATCAGTTTAGTGTTATCAGTGATTAATGGCCCTAGAACTATTGCTCTTATTCCGATGTTCGCAGCGATATGTAACATGTGCGGCGTAATGGGCGTAACCGTCGTTTTCGCATGTATGCGCACCCGACGCATGTTTGCATGCGTGTACGTATGGGTGGGACTTTACAAAACATTTTTGTGTTTTTTTTAATTTTTTCATGTGTGACTAATTGTTTAACTCTATTGTTATCACATGGGGGGCTAAGAAACCCCCCTATGTAATAGCAAAGATATGCGACAGGTCCTCTTTATGGAAAGATCAGGGGTCTCCAAAACCCCTAATGTCACCTTGAAACCCTCAATGAAGCGGAGATCTGCTTCATCAGCTTCTCAAGCTGGAGAGTGACTCAAGAATGCGGAAGTGATGTATTATACATCACTTCCGCATTCTGACAGTGGAGAGGGGACCGGAGGGAGATGGTGTACTGATCTCCCTCTGATACCCTGTCACAGAGCCACCATGGTGGTCCCAGGCTCACACCGTGCACAGCGGAGCCCGGGACCAGCGGGAGGCTGCGCTCTGATCGGCACCCCATACTATCGATCCGCCGGCGGATTGCTTGTATGTAAACAGGCATCGCTGCCTGTTCTTACATTTTGGTGGTTTTCGGCTCTCATACATACACGAGTGGGCGGGGCTAACAGCCTGTATATACACGGCCTGTTACATCCAGGATGCTCCCGGCCGGCCGTTTTTCTACAACAGCCGGCCTGGAGGCGGTTAAAGTGAATATGACTTTAACATAAGGACCTAAGCTACTAACAATGCTGTGGATCCCTTCGATCACAAACACAAGCTGTATGCGGTGCTTTACCTTCTCCCCAGGTCGAGTACATCCCATTCAAATGTCATATACAATGGCGTCTACTGTCTATTGATGTTCTAGCATTGGGGTTGGCAACTCTGGCCCTCCAGCTGTGCTTTAACTACAAATCCCAGCATGCCTCTGTGAGTAATGCCTGTAACTGTCAGTCTTGCAATGTATCATGGGACTTGGGAGGCTCAACAGCTGGAGGGCTGGAGTAGCCCACCCCTGTTATAGCACTTGACAGTTTAATTACAAGAGTGCGGCTTAGCAACATGAGGAATGGGCTTAGAGAGACACTTTCACTTTGCCCATTTATTTTCATGATGGCTTAATGTGAGATTGGTTTTATGTTAGCGGTTTTATGTTAGCGGTCACTCTGTAAGATGCTGTTTCCAGCATTATTGCAGACAGTAGTGGTAGAAAGTGAGGGGGAAAAAAAACCACACACAAACCCCCTCCCCCCCCCCCCCCCACA